TTTTTTTTTTTTTTTTTTTTTTTTTAATAATTAATAATTCATTTATCTCAACACTAAAATAGGTTCAAATTTCTCCATAAATATTATATCCTTATTTTTTTTTATGTTAAAATATATATAAAATGGTAAAATAAAATTACAAATTTAGTCCCTAAACTTTATATTATTCGACCTTTCATTTCTTTAAATACTTTAATTGCATATAATATAATTGATATGAACCAATAGACATCAATCATACAATATACTTTAAATAAATGTGAATAAAATATTGTTAAAATTATCTAAAGATATTTCAATTCATACCACGTTGAACAATAATGAAGTTTCATGTTATAAATTTTAGATGGATGTAATTTAGAGTTATTGAATGTTTTTTAACACTTTTTATTTACTTGTTAATTATGGTACGAATGTTACAACTTTTGAAATGTCTTTAATAGTTTCATTTTGAGTTATAAAAAAGTTCTATTTATAAATAGACTTGGAAAATATAGTAAAAGAAGCATTTGTGCTTTTATTTAGCAATAACTAAGTTTATTTGCAATTCTATGTAGTTTAGGTTGTATGTAGAATCATTCAAGTTCAACATGATCAATTTTGTTTGTGAAGTGATTTGAATCTCAATCAAGGGTTCTTGTCTTGAGATATTTGATCAACAAGAATCATTCAAGCTAGACATGATCGATTTTGCTTGTGGAGTGATTCGAATCTCAAACAATGTTTTTGCCTTGAGATATTCGGATCTTGCTTGTGGAGTGATTCGAATCTCAAACAATGTTTTTGCCTTGAGATATTCGGATCTTGCTTGTGGAGTGATTCGAATCTCAAACAATGTTCTTGTCTTGAGATATTCAATCAACAAGGTAATCCGAATCTTACTCCTTTTGTAGTGATTTTCATGTATCATCGCTCATTTCTATAAACATTTAATAGATTTTAAAAAATGTAATAGAACATAATTCTATTAAAAAAAATCATGCAAAATTGATAGTTTGAATTTTAAAAAATTAAAATTCTAAAACTAAATAGAATAAATTTTAAAGTTAATTTTTTATTAAATTAAATATAAATTTTCCTCTTTGATCTAGAAACAAAAAAAACGACTAACACATTTCAATCTTTAATAAGATAATATATTTTCTATAATTATAATTATTTCAAAGTTGAATGTTTTTTTTTTTTTGTAACAGCTAATATTTTCAAAATTCAAATTTTCATTGCTGTTTAATAATTTAAACAAAGATAAATCCTAAATTAGCTAAATTAAATATTTAACGTTCCGTTTAATTCATAAATTCACTGCATGTGAGATCAACTTTTGAAGACGCGATCGTAGCCGTTCACGTGGCAAATCAAACGTCAGATGTAAGATTGTCAGTGTTGGCTTTGACGGATGCACGCTTTCTCTTTGAATGTCGTCTCTGACTCTGACATTTAAAAAATAATGTTATTTGACTTTTCAATTTGGAAATTTTGTCAGCCGTTGGATGGACGAGGGCCCAACTTCTGTACCTGATCGGTCAAGATCACGTGCCACGTGTACGGCAAGGGACAGCCCTTCGTTCAAATATCAGATAAAGAGTTTTATCTTTTATTTTGAATGGCTTGGCATATTACCAAAAGGTCAATGTAATTTCTAAACCACATAAATATATAAATATATAAATATTTTTTTTAGTCTATGGTGGTTCCAGCGTTTATGGGTTGAGCTTGATAATGAAATTTATTTAATTAAAATAATTTTTAGTTCGTACTTTGTTTAAGTTGAAAATATAATGTATTAATTATATTTTGTTCCAATAATTATTATTCGAATGTTTCAACCATACACTTCAAATTTTTTTAAAAAATTAAAATATATATATTTAATTTTAGGTGAACATCATTAATACTTTGCTTTAAAAATAGGTTTAAGAGCGTTTCAAAAATACGGTTGAGCTTTTAAAAGTTTCGTTAATACTCTCACATTAAATAAAAAAAAAACTTAAAATATACCCTTAAAAATTTTATAAAATCTCAAAAAACACATCTAAACTTTTTCTTTGTAACATTAAAATATTTATAGATAATCTACGAGTGTCGACAATTTTCATTCATATAATGATGGTAAAAAAATTACACTTTTTTTTATAAAATTAAATAGGGTTAATGTAAATCTTAAAATTATATATATATATATATTTCGTATTAATTACTCTCCATAAATGTATTTTAATTTTTTTTTATTAAAACGTTGAAGAATATTAATCAAACTTTTTTAAATCTTAAATGTATTTTTTAAACATAGTACTGCATATCAAACAATAGTTATCCATGATCGAACGAGACTATGAGTTTAACTAAGTTACCTGTAATAAATGAACAATATTTAAGAGCATATCTTCGTTTCGTCATGCTTTACGTCCAATCAACGTCGGTACGACCTTCAACCTAAAGTTGGACGTGCTCTATAAACAATTTGCCTTTATATCCATAGTTCCCTTCAAATATTTCAATGTTTTATACTATGAATCGATTCTAGCCAGTGCATGAATTGACTTACCATACTTCAAAATACAATATTTTGCGAATATTTCGTATGGTTCTTTATCTTTTACTCCATATATTTGCAATTTTGGTCTTACACCCTTAAAATGTTGGAAAACACATATAGAACTCTTATAACTCCCTCCGACTCGTGGTTGGGAAGTAAGGGTCGGAGAAGGACAATAACTTGTTTTTAAAACCAACATTCTTAAGACAAAAGAGGCGGACGAAAAAGAGGAGAAAGTTCTCTATTCCTAGTTCTTATGTAGCTAGATTCTCCGGAACCACAAGAATCCTTAATTAGAATGCGATTCCAACACAATAGATGAAAGTTGTAAGCTGTGTTCGGGAGGAGTTATTGTCTATAGTTGACCTTTATGGTAGAATCAATCAGGGGCCTAAAAGGCAGAGGTTCACCCTATGACGGACGACAACAATTCAAATAATATATATATATATATATATATATAATATTTTATTTTCTTGACTAAGTTCACGGGCTGGAGATAAGCAGACTTGAACTGCTGTCATCCGTCACAGGGTGAGCCACTGCCTCTTAGCCCCTTGATTGATTCAACCGTAAAGATCCAACTATAGACAATAACTCCCCCGAACACAGCTTATAATTATAATATATATATATGGTTTATAAAATTGAATTAAAAAATATAATGAAATTAGAAAAAGAATTAATATATCGTAATAGGTTCTTGGCGTTAAGGTATATAATAGCCACGCAAACCATAGATTCATAGCTGACGTTCTTAAAATAAGATTAAGAAAAGACGAGGGAAGAACAAAAGGCGATAACAGATACCAAAATTTTCTCCTTAATTTTCTGCTTAATTTAAGCCGAAAATCCCAGCCACTCGAACAAGGAACATCTCTGTTGGTTCAACAATGGTGAAATCCTTCATCATTTCCAAGGGAAAAAATAGGATCGAGAATAACAAAAATTTAATCGCAGAGAAGAGGCAAAACGAGGGTACAATTTTGTTTCTCTGCAACTTCTCGCAGAGCAGAAAAGGGATTTTTATGGTGATTGGGAGTTCCGCGAGGAGGAAGAAGAAGAAACGCAATGGCGATGACTAGGGTTCATGAGCCATCGCGATCCTTAGCAGGTAATACATGCACCATTCGGCTGACTGAAATTTTCGGGCGAGCGACCAAGTCTATTTTGGGCTTCTTTCTCATGATGGGTCTCTGCAATGGCGTGCATTACCTTTTGAGACCTTTTTCTCAACCTCGCACTACTTCTGATACGATCGTAAGCCCCTTCTTCTTCTTCTTTTCTCTTCAAATTTCACATCGATTCTTGAGATTTAGGGCTCGTTTTTGGTAGAATAATCTGATTCCTCACATTTTAGGTCTGCTTTTGGTAGTGTAATCTGATTCTTCTGATAACGGTTCTGGTTTTTGGATGTTTCAAAAATTCACATTCCCAGCATAGAACAACAGTAGGATGGAAATGAGGAAATGGTAGAAAATCTGCCATTATTATTACTATTATTATGATTTTCAGTCAGGTCACTCTGAATTTAAGCTTATGTCTCATTGAATCGTCCCTTTGAAAAAACGGATTTGTTGTCAGGTTAGTCAAATTTTGAAGGGGAATTAGTTGAATCTCACATAAATTGAGAAAAACTCAAAAGATGAGGGACTGTTTATATATATATATATATATATATATATATATATATATATATTACCTTATGATTGTTATTATTTGTTTATGGTCAAAATTGATCCACTGTATTGGGTTCTTGAGAGACTGATAGTGTATTCATGAGTGGCTTCTGCTTTTCAAGTTGCTCTAATAACACCAAGAACAGGGTTCTGTGTTAAGTCATGGAAGTTTTATATACACCAATGGTCTTTTCCCCAATGAAAAGCTTTGCAGACCAAACTGCCTTGTTGGTCTTAGTTTAAATGCTTTTGATTTATAATGTTCGTCTATGAACGCGCAGGTTGGTTTGGTTGTTGGAAACTTCATGAGGAAAGAACTCGATCTGTCAATACATAAGACGCTGCGTTATATTGTTGACTTTGGTATGACATGCTATATGTTTGTGCTGGGATTGGAGATGGATCCATGTGTACTCTTCAAAGCACCTACACGTGATGCTAAGGTAGCTTATGCCGGAATGATTTCAACACTCATCTTAGCCTGTTCCACAATCCCATTTATTAGCTTTTCGAAGTCGAAAGAGATCAGTTTCATCCTCTCGCTCTCAACTGTTCTCTCTAGCACAGCTTCTCCTGTGCTAACCCGTTTGATCACCAATCTTAAAATAGGCAGGTCGGATATAGGCCGACTTGTTATTGCTGCTGGAATGCATTCTGATTTTATATCCACTCTAGCAATCTGTATAGGCTATCTATTTTGCCAATGCCAAGAGACGCGTCTCTCCATTATAAATGGTTTTCAATTAGGTTTTGTTCTATTGATCCAGATGATAATGGCGGCGAAGGTTTCACCAATATTCATGAACTGGGTGAATAACGAAAACCCCGAGGGTAAACCTATGAAGGGTCCTCACCTGGTTCTTGCAGTTGCTTTCATGGCCTTCCTTTGCTGCTGCCCTACTATAATTGGTTACAACCCGACGCTCAGTGCATTCTTGGCTGGAACGTTTTTACCTCGAGAAGGTAGAGTATCAAGATGGGCAATTGGAAAAATTAACTACCTGCTTACTACTGTTTTCTATCCCATCTTCTTCTTTTGGATGGGGGTTGAATCCAAGTTGAGTGACTTCGAGCCTGGACAAATAATAACATGGGTCAGATTACTTCTGCTTTTTGCTATTGTAACCGTAGGAAAAGTTGTTGGTACTGTCATTGCTGGGGCAATTTTGGGGTTTCATTGGCCTGAATCTGTAGCACTTGGGCTGCTGTTAACCATGAAGGGCCATTTTCATATATACTTGGCCATATCTGCAAAAATAGTAAGTACACTTGCTCAAGGCTTCACCACTTTCTGCTAATGCACTTTCATCTTGATAAATACTATACTAAAAGCGAACTATTTCACCTTAGAAATGATGAACAAATGCAGGCTGGAAAGATATCTACATCTACGAGCATTGCGATGGTATTTGTAATCTTCTTCACAGTCGTGCATGCTCCAAAAGTTGTAGCTCATATAATTAGAAGGGCGAGGAAACGCACACCTACACATCGAATGGCTCTCGAATTGCTTGACCCATCAAGTGAGCTTAAGATCTTGTTATGTATACATGGACCTCATAACACTGGAGCAGCCATTAACATCATGGAGATTTCTCGGGGGACGGCTAACCCTGGAGTTGTTGTATATGTCACAGACATGATTGAACTTACAGATGAAATAGCAGCCACGTTAGTGCAGGGTGAAGGAGTGGACACTGTAACTGTAACCCACACAGGAGTGACACAAATGAGAGATCAAGTTACTACTGCATTTCAGAGATATGTAGATGAAAATGGAGATGGAATTACCCTTAGAAGAATGTTGGCTCTCTCAGCATTCAATTGTATGGCACAAGACATTTGCATTTTAGCGGAGGACTTGTTGGGTGCTCTTATCATACTGCCATTCCACAAGAACCAGCGCGGAGATGGGTCGTTGAGCGAGGGCCAAGCAGGTTTCCGCTATGTGAACCGCAAGGTAAGACTTTGAAGGACTGGTAATTCTTCAATCAGTTAGAACTGGTTCATTTCAAGTATACTAGTATGACATGACAATTGTATGATATATACAACTACTAGGAAATTGGTTGATTATATAGGATGTGTCGTGCGAAGAAATCGGATTTTGAGAATTTGTTTTTTCGTACGAACTTTGTCATCGGTGCTTGTTCTAACAAAATTCATTCAAACAGGTTATCAGACACGCCCCTTGTTCCGTGGGAATCCTAGTGGATCGAGGTCTTGGATCAGTAGAGAAAATTTCAAGGTCGTACGTAACCCTGAATGTGGCAGTGATCTTCATTGGCGGTAAAGACGACCGAGAAGCATTAGCCTACGCTGGTCGAGTAGCTAGACATCCCGGAGTTAAACTCTCTGTGATTAGATTCTTGGTGGATGCTGATGCAGAAAATGCTGCAAGAAGAGCTGGGACATACAGGATCAGTGTTGCTGAGCAGGAAGAGGAAATGAGACAAGACGACGAATGCTTTGCTTATTTTTACGAACGACACGTGGCTGGTGGGCACGTCGCTTACGTTGAAAAACACATGGCCAGTTCCGCAGAGACGTATTCTACTTTGAAATCACTGGAAGGTCAATACACTCTCGTAATCGTAGGTCGAGGTGGGGGAGTGAACTCGGTGTTAACTTACGGGATGAATGATTGGCAACAATGTCCAGAACTGGGTCCTATAGGGGACGTTCTTTCCGGGTCTGAATTCTCCGCCAAGACCTCGGTTTTGATCATCCATCAACACAATCTAAAAGGTGAACTAGATGGACTTGATGATGATTTTTCAATAATGTAGATGTCAAGAAACCGATGAGATTAGTAGTGATAGAGAATTAGAAGGTAGTTGTAGGGTTGGAATACTGTGATTTGTAGAACTTTAGTTGCTGGAAATGATAGAATAAGTGTAGAATTTGACGCGTATATATACACTTCTGACCATTTGACTTGTTCTGTAAAACAGTGATTTCTTATCAGTTCAAACCCAATCCAAGTTCTCATTGTAATTTACTACCAACATCATGTGCCAGAGATTTGATTCTCTCTAATTTTCTACCATTTAGATCTGATACCATTCTGCAAATCCCAAATTTCTTACCAATTTTCTTTTCAAACCAAGATCTAAGTTTTTCAAACCAAGATCTAAGTTGGATAGCAAACAAGTTTAGGCCTAGTTTAGGCCGTAATCTATTTACTGGGTTAGTATTACTCGATTATCTTCTACGATGTTTTAATAGGTGTTGGAGCCTACGACTTCAATGAGCTAACGACATTACGTTTGAATGTGACGATATGTTACCGAGTGCCTGCATATGGTCATGTTTAGTAGGGTTGACATTAGCCAATAGTTGAATGACACCTCTAATATTACGTCTTTATAATTTCTCGTGCTTGGATTATATTTTGTGTCTAAATGTCTTCTCTTTCACTGATAAGCATCAATGTCTTATTGGTGGGTGGAGTAGACACATTGTCGTCTTTATAATTTCTCGTGCTTGGATTATATTTTGTGTCTAAATGTCTTCTCTTTCACCGATAAGCATCAATGTCTTATTGGTGGGTGGAGTAGACACATTGTCTTTGTTTTGAGTCTTATTGGTGGGTGGAGTAGACACATTGTCTTTGTTTTGAGGTTAGGCCTAGCCGACTTTTGGTCATGTTAATTGAGTTGAGAAAATAGACTAAAATTAGGGAATTTCTAATCGCCTCACTTAGTTGAGTTGAGTTGAGAAAATATACGGCATATAGACACAAACCACGACTAAAATTAGGTAATTTCTAATCTAATTGAACTGTGACATATTTTACGGGTTGAATGAACACCAATATCACGTAATTGGACATAATTGGTATCAAAATTACTATAGTCTACTATAAAATTTAATTTTACATATAAAGGTTACATTACATGAAGTAAGAACTTCTGAACTTAGGTTTTCGGGTATAATAGTATTTGATTAAATGCTCAAATTTACAAAAATACCCTTAATCTCGAACAACACAAATTTTAATACAAAATTATTGAAGTTACCTTTTATAAGATAAACCATGATAGCGGAAAATTTTTACCCGAGAAATATATTTTTTTAAAAAATAATTTGATTTAAACTGGTATGAAACTCCTTAAATGACAAAAGCTTAACCTTGATGTTACCATCTATGAGAAGGTTGGGAGGGGAGGGAAGATCCAGGGTGACTTTTGAAAATTTGAGTTGAACTGAGGGGCATTTTCGTCAAACCGAGAATAAATTGACCTAATTTGACAAGAAAAAATTAGGGCATTTAGACAAAATAAAAATACGGTCTTTCTTTGAAACAGAGCCAAAAAATTTTACTCGCTCGAGGCCTCTGCCCCGCCCTTCCTCTTCGATTCTCAACGCTCTCCCCTCAATCGGTCCTAATATTTATAAAAATTTCATTTTTTTTTTAAATCGATTTTATATATATTTTTGGATGATTAAAATTTTAGAGGGAGAGAGAGAGAGGGAGGGAGAGATCCCTAACGCACAATCAAAAATTCAAAATCTCTAAATCTCTCGCAAATATGGCATTTCACGTAGCTTGTCCAATTACATGGTATACACACTTCCCCTCTTTTTTTTTTTTTTTTTTTTTTTCATTTTTTTTTCCTTTCTTCTAATCCCATTTTTCTTCTCTCTTTCTTTTGCTTTCTTTTGGGTGTTTTCTCTTTCGTTGCCGTTTGGCTTTTCTTTCTCTCAACTACCCATCTCGTTTGTTTTTTGCTTCGAAACCTCACATGGGTTTGTTTTTCTGTGTTGTGTAGTCGAAGGATTTGCTTCTGTGCGCTAGGATTTGAGCCGGGTTTGCAGAATGGGAGAGTTAAGAATGAGTTTCTTGATGGGGTGCGTAAGGTGGAGGAGTTTCTCAACGATCCTTGGGGAATTAGGGTTAGAGATGGGAAGGGAGCGACGGTTCAGGTCTGGGTTCCGAAGGTTGCGCCGCCTCCCCCACCAGTGCAGCCTGTTGGGGTTGTTGGTGAGGCGTTTATTAGTGGAGCTGATGGGGTCGATGAAATGGCGGCGGCGATGTCGGCTCAGACGAAGCGTATTGCGCTTCAGCGTAAGGCTGCTGCTGCTATGATTGCTGCTGAGGACTATGCCAGGCGATTTGAATCTGGGAGTTTAGTGGTGAGGGTTTTAGTTTGGATTGTTTTCTTTACCATGTTGAAGATTTGACTCTGTGTTCTTGGTTAATTGATTATGTTCTTGTTGTAAAAATTGTTGTGGAGTAGAAGCTTAGTGTAGGGATTTGTTCTTCCTGTTGTTTTGATGCTGAATTTAGCTAGCTTGATCTTTGCTGATTAGCCAGCGCTTATGGCAAGTCATTAGCCCTTTGGTCCTTTTGAATACTTGAACATGCTCCGGATAGATGTTGGGATTTAGTGAGAAATCTATTGAAAATACAAAAAATTTACTTAGGATTAATGCAGCTGCTGATGGAAAGTATATAGTTATTAGATATTTACTAGATCAGTGAATGACCTGTGCTGTGAGGGCTGCTTCTCATGCCCGAACTCCCTCAGGTTCTCCTTCAGTTCGGAATGTCATTTACGAGACATTTTTAAAGCGCCCTGTCTGCTGTAGTTATAATCGTGTTTTTTTCACCTTGAACAGGATGCCTCCGGTAGTCTCGTGGGGGAAGAGCAGGGGCAGTCGAATGTGAATGTAATGTGTAGAATATGTTTTGTTGGTGAAAATGAATCTAGTGAGAGAACACGGAGGATGCTTTCGTGCAAAACTTGTGGCAAAAAGTACCATCGCAACTGCTTGAAATCCTGGGCTCAACATAGGGGTAAGGTGTGGTCACGAGTTTATTTTTAGACGAGAATTATTTATAAACGTTTGCTATGTGTGTGTTGGCAGATCTATTTCACTGGAGTTCGTGGACTTGCCCTTCCTGCCGAGCATGCGAGGTAATAAGGAATATGCAGCATTACTATATTTTCTCTCTTTATCAGTAGCATCACTAATTTATTAGTTACCTTGATCTCGAAGGCAATACATTTTTATTTAATCGCCTGATGGTCTCATTATATACCCTTGATACCGAGGTTAATGCTGACGTGAATGATTTTCATCGTTTAAAGACTTGGTGTTTTCCTTGGTTCTTCTAGAGATAAGAGCACCTTGTCGTGATTTTGATAAGTTTTTCAATACGACCGTGTACTCAGGTATGCAGAAGAACTGGTGATCCAAATAAATTTATGTTCTGCAAAAGATGTGATGGTGCTTACCATTGTTACTGTCAGCATCCTCCTCACAAGGTAGGGAGTGTTTTTTCGCTCGAGTTTTGTATCCCAGTCAAGTAACGTGCTTAATACTGATGCGTGTGATTGAATCTGGTAGAACGTTAGTTCTGGACCTTATTTGTGTCCAAAGCATACGAGGTGCCACAGCTGTGAGTCTAATGTTCCAGGAAACGGCCAAAGTGTGAGGTATGCGGTTTATTCTCTTGGATCGTCTGCACTCTTGTTTTAGTTTCTCAATTTGTATCATTGAAAAAAACCCTACTTCGTCATGTTCACCTCATCGTCTGTTGTTCTTACTTTTTGTTCGGGTGGTAGATTTGATGTTTTATTTTGTAAGACACCGTCTCGAATGTGCGAAGACGTGCATTAGCTGAAGATATGCTAGTGATAACGTAAAATGCTGTCTTCCATCGCTTTCAATTACTATTTTTTCCCCTTACTACTTATTAGTAATATTCTTCAAATTTATGTACATCATGCAATGCCATGTGTTTATTTCCACGAGTTGAACCGTTGAAGACAAGAAAAAATCCGTTTCTTTCGAATTTCCATGAGTTGAGCTGTTGAAGACGAAAAAATCTTACGCTTGTCGTTTGTAATGCAGGTGGTTTCTGGGATATACATTTTGTGATGCATGTGGTAGATTATTTGTAAAGGGGAACTACTGCCCTGTGTGTTTGAAGGTAATAAATTTTACATCAACACAATATTTTCGGATTTTAAGTTGCTTGTGGGTATCGAAATAGTGGGTGAACTCGTGTGTTCTTTTAGGTTTATAGAGATTCCGAATCTACTCCGATGGTTTGCTGTGACGTTTGCCAGCGCTGGGTGCACTGCCATTGTGATAGTATCAGGTTTTTCCTTACCTGGTTCTTACTCATGAATGATCTATATATTTGCTGCTATCCATGTCATGGCTTTTTATTTTCGAAATTCTTGCTCGACTGACTCACGAATGCGTGGACAAACGTATGGAGCTAATCTTTTCTTACGTTTTAGTTCCACGTTTGACACCGAAATGATGGATAAGCCTAATTATATTTACATGGGTAGTTGCTGTTGTAAACTTATGGATTGCACATCAGTTTTATACCATTGCTGCTTCCATTGGCTCCACTGTAATAGCCTACCTTACAGATGGTGTCATTGTGAAGGTTGTCTAGAATTGTTCTCTTGATGTTATGCTTTGATTTCTTCATATATGATACCGATTCGATTTCCTGTTTCAATATATGATACCGATTCGATTTCCTGTTTCAATATATGATACCGATCTTTTAGCTTTGACGTAGGCGAACTACACTTGTCTTTGCACTCGCTAAGATCAGTTCTTTTAAATCTTTTACAGTGATGAAAAATATTTACAGTTTCAAATAGATGGGAATCTCCAGTACAAATGCACGGCGTGTCGTGGAGAATGTTATCAGGTTTTCTTAACGCCAACCTTCTTCCCCGCCCCCCGGTGTAGACACTTACAGGAGAAAAGATGGTTTTGATTTAAATTGTTCTTGAGGCCCTTCAACTTTGTTTTTTTTTTTTCAGGTAAAGAATCTTGACGATGCCGTTCAAGAGATTTGGAGAAGAAAGGATGAAGCGGATCGTGATCTAATCGTTAGCTTGAGGGCTGCTGCTGGATTACCCACTCAAGAAGA